AAAAATAGATATCAAGCCAGTAAAATGCTAGCCATGCAAACAGGAAGACCTGTGTCAGATCTCCAGAGCCTGGGTAAAAAGGCTGGGTGGGTATGGCCGGGTGGTGGTGGAGCACGCCTTTAATCCCAGCACTTGGGAGGCAGAGGCAGGCGGATCTTTGTGAGTTTGAGAACAGCCTGGTCTACAGAGCGAGATCCAGGAAAGGCACAAAGCTACACAGAGAAACCCTGTCTCGAAAAACCAAAAAAAAAAGGGCTGGGTATGGTGGTACATTCTTCTAATCCCACTGCTGGAGAGGCAGAAACAGGTAGACCCTTGGGGGTTGCTTGCCAGTCAGCCTAGCTGTGGTGATATATTGTGTACCCTAATAAACTTATCTGGGGATCAGAGGACAGAGTCAGCCACTAAATTAGGCACAGAAGTCAGGCAGTAGTGGCGCACGTCTTTAATCCTATCACTTGGGAGGCAAGGCCACACTGGGAACAGAGCCAGGCATGGTAGCACACACCTTTAATCCCAGCACTTGTGATCTCATGCCTTTGCTTGGGAAGCACACATGCCTATTATCACAGGAAGTGACAGTGGTGGTGGAGAATGGTATATAAGAGGCGAGGAGACAGGAACTAGTCAGCAGTTCAACTGAGACCCTCAGGGGTGAGGACTCAGAGGCTTTCGTGAAAACAGTCTGAGGATTCGTGGAAACAGGATCGGCTGAGGAGTTGGCAAGGTGAGGTTGGCTGTGGCTTGTTCTGCTTCTCTGATATTTCAGCTTTTACCCCAATATCTGGCTCTGGGTTTTCTATTAAAAGACTGCTTAGCAATTTGTGTCATACCTAGCCTAGCTTACTTGTCCAATTCAAGTGAGTCGGAGGCCCTGCCTCAAAAAAACAAGGTGGACAGCACCTGAAGAAAGACACCTGAAGGCCTCCTCCACATGCATGTGCTCCTACACAGACACGCACTCCAGAACTTGGAAAAAATGAAGCAGTGAGTAAGCAGCTGTCTGCCACGCAGGAACAGATACCTCACCACACACCAATTCTGACTGCTTCTTGATTTGGGACTTCCAGCCTGAAGAACTAAGAGGGGCTTACATCTGTGGCTCAGGCCACACAGTCTAAGTATATTCTTCTGTCAGTCTTGGCAGATGAATGCAGAAGAATTTTTCAGTAAGGCAGACAGACAAAGTCAATGACAAATTGGCACCAGTAGAGACAGACTTCACAGCTAAGTCAGGTGATCAGGAGCTAGCTTAGCAAAAGCAGGAAACAAACCAAGAAAGTTCGCTAGAGAAGCATCAGCATGCCAGCAGCAAAGTATGTGCTCCCAGGTGGTGTGATGGAGGCATGAACAGGTCTCTTTTAATGCTGTCACCTTAGGAGAGTGTGGACACTGTTGTCACTGGTCCCTGCAACCCCAGGACCTACATATTTGAAGTCTGAAACTCAAGAATGGAAACATATTATTTAAGATAAAGAAGAATATAGCCAGGCATGGTGGTACATGTTTGCAATCCCAGTACAAGGGAGACTGAGGCAGGAGGATTGCTATAGGTTTGAATCTAGCCTGGGCTACAGAGTGAGAGCCTGTTTCAAAATTCCGAAAGAAGAAGAAAGAGATAAAGGTAGAGTAATTGAGACATTCTGGTCTATCCCTTTGTGTGGACTGAATTACCTGACTTAGATGGAAAGTGCTGCTGGCAATGTATATCAGACCTCACTGAAAAATTATTTGTATCTTGTGAGTAACTGGCAAGACCTGGCAAATATTTGGCTAAAATCCTAAGTTTGCCAGGGATTCCACCAGAGATTGTTGTCATTAGGCCACCAACCAGAAGAAAAATTACAACCTCATCATTTTGTTGGCAGGGATAGTACAGCTAGGAAGGCCATGATCAGAGATCAAGCACCTTATCCAGACACTAGGACCCTGAACCAGGCCCTGGGGTTTGCTGGTTCATAGGACACAAATGACATACTCAGATGGTGAGTTGAAGCAGCATATTCCCTTTCCATGTCTCCTGAGTATTTGTTCCATCTCTATCCAGGCTTAGGTGCTCCTTGAAAGTCTTTAAGTCCCTTAGGAGTATTTGTTTCAGCTCTGGTGCAGTCCTCATCAGTTGACGAGCAGGTAACTGACCCACCTACCAGCTGGACTGCCACCATCCTCTGGATTCTGACCCCCCAGTATTCTTCCCACCTCATCATCCTCCTGGAGGCCAGCCCTTCTTCACAACTCCAGCACAGTCCACGCCAGACAGAAGGCTAGCACCTCCTCCCCTAGAATCCATATTATGGTCTACAATTTCAGATGAGGACTTTTATCAGAGGCCAGGCTGGATCTAGGGACCCAAGGCCCCCAAACCCCAATGGAGACACCCAACTGGACCCGAAGACTTGCCAGTTGCTAGAACCCCTGGCCACTTAGGCCAAAAGACCAGAGAGGAAACATAAAATAAAGGAACAAAACACCCATCCAAAAAAGACAAACACAGCAATCAATACTTAGACCAATAACCATCCCAAATCCAGATGCCTAAACACCAGTGCAAGAACACAATCAATAACACAACGGTAAATACAGCACCACAGAACCTAGTGATCCTACGACATCAAGACCTGAGCATTCCAATGCAGCCGAAGCACAAGAAAACGGCCTTAAAAATAACGTTTTTAAAAATTTTTATATAATTTATGAAGATGATAGAGGCCCTCAAAAAGGAAATAAAAAACTCCCTTAAAGAGATGAAGGAAAAAACAAACAAAAAACAGGAAGGAATCCATCTCTCCATTCTGGCTTAGTTCATGGAGTAGGCTACATCTAACTTCAAAGCCAAGAGTGGCCTCAACTCAGAGACAGAAAGCTTGGTAGGAGATCACCCCAAAGACAAATAACATCACCCTAAAGCTGAAGGGAAATCATCCCAAAAATAAAGGACATTATCCCAACGCTGAAGGATAAGTATGGTGGTTTGAATAAGAATGGCCCCCATACACTCATCAATTTGAATGCTTAGTCACCAGGGAGTGGCACTATTAGGAGGTGTGGCCTTATTGGAGTGGTGTGTCACTGGAGATGGGCTTTGAGGTTTCAGAAGCTCAAACTAGGCCCAGTGGTTCACTCTCTCTTCCTGCTGTCTGCCTATCCAAATGTAGAACTCTTAGCTACATTTCCAGCACCATGTCTGCCTGCATGCCACCATGCTTCCCACCATGATGACATTGGACTAAACCACTAAACCTGTAAGCAGGCCCCAGTTAAATGTTTTCCTTTATAAGAGTTGCTGTGGTCATGGTGTCTCTTTGTGCCAATCACAACTCTAAGACAGTGGGCCCACCAAGCAAAAACAGACCTGATGTCCTTTCTCTTAAATGTGGAAAGTAGCTGTTGAAGAAGCCACAGACCAGAACTGTTCATCCACGAACTGTCACATCTAAAAATACCCAGACAAAGAGCCCAGAGACTAAATGTCAGTGAGGGAGATCTAAAAAGGACAGGCAACATTACCAGAGAGCTGAATTGGAGATGGCAAGCTTAAGACTGAACAACATTTTGAAAATGTACAAAACTAACAACATTACAAAGTTCTTATACTACTTTAAGAGGTAAGCTAACGTCAGAGATTTAGGAAACAGTATTCAAGACCATGAACACAAACGTGTCAAAGTAGTGAAAGCAATTTTGACAGAGTCTTTATTATAAAAATATGTCAGTAGTCAGATTGGAAGATTTTTTTTTTGGATACTAAAATAAAAGGTCTACATGAGAAAAGAGGGGCAGGCTGTATAGTTCAGGACTTGACCAAACTGATCCTCAGCACCAAGAGATAAAATCTACGGATTAAAAATTTAAAAATAAAAAGAGGAAAATCTCACAAAGCATAAGAAGAACCATGCAGGCAAAAACAAGTAATGAAGCATGTTGATTAAAACATGTACACTAAACTGATGGGGCAAAAACTGCTGTTTGACATAAAACTAAGGTCAAAATTCTGTTATCTCTAAGAAATACAAATAAGCCCAACTACAAATCAGTTACTTATCAAGTTCAGTTTAAGATTTATCATAAGTCAAGGGTGGTGGCACTTGTCTGTCATCCTAGCATTTAGGAGGTTGAGGTAGGAGGATCTTGAGTTCAAGGTCAACCAATGTTATATAGTGAGACCCTACCTGAAAACAAAAGATTTACCATGTCTTATAACATATTACAAAAATATAAACACCAAAATAGTAAAGGTTACTATCATAAATTTACTATTAAAATGATATAGCATTATAAGATATGTATAGCATGTATGACTATGAAAATAGTTGAACATGTCATCTTAATGTTTAAAACACTATGGAGAATATGATCTGAAGCTATTAAAATTGGCAGATGTGATTGTATCTTAAAACTTTAGCAGTACAACACAGCAGATAAGCAGTCAAACATCTTCCCCGAGCACAGGAACATACATCAACATCACTTCCCAACTCAGCATCTCTAGAGCTTCTGAGGACGCATAAAGCACCATTAGCACTATTGTTGCAAATACCGCTCCTGTTTGTTGTTCTGAGACTCCCTGGATTTTAGGTTGTGCTGTCTAACCAATCTCTGCCCACATCTCTGTTCTCTGCTCTGTAATGCTTGTTTTAAAAGCCACTCAATAGATATGTACATCACATATAATAAGCATCTAATAAAATACTTGTCGAATAAACAAATATATGACAGTGAGAATCATATCCACAATCTTGCCCAGATGGTCACATGGGTTGAAAAGAATTCCAAATATATAAATAGTGCTTCCCTTCCTGTCCTCATACTGGATAGTTCATGATCATTATTTCCTTGAAATGCACAGCTGGCTTGTGATCTAATATTATTGACCAGGATCCAATATGTATGAACTCAGTGCAGTGAGACTTGCTCTTTTGTAAAAATGATTTAAGGCAATAAAAATGTCCAACAAAACTGCTAAGTACCAAATAAAGTTTACATAATGTATGTCCACTGACCTTGTAAGGATGTAAGGTGAAAACGAAGCTGGGTTGTCCTGCTCTGAGAAGAGGGGCATAGTTCCTCCCATTATCCACAGGCGGAAATACAAAATGACAGTCACCTTGGAGGAACAAGAAAACCTGATGAAATGTCCACCTACATCTCTTCCATCTTTATTCATGTATTCTGATCCTCTATCAAGAAGTGGAGTCAGCTGTCCCCTCCCCTTACAGCTGATAGCTAAGCCTGCCTGTGTAACCCCAGCCCCAAATCATGACATGGGGAACCATTCAGCTGAGCTTCCAAACTAAAGCCTCCTGGACAAGCGGCAGTAGCTGTATCTACACCTCTGGGTACTGGGACTGGATGCTGTGTCAAGCAGTAGACAACTGATACATCCAGGTCACTTTGAAAACACTTTGAAAGGGACTTTAAAACCCTGTGTTGTTCACACTATGCCATCAGGTTCCCGTGTATGCTTTCACACACACCTTTGCTAAAAAGCAACATTTACCACCTGTAAACCTTCCTTAAGAGATGATGTTGATAGTGAGTTTATTAAGTAATGTGGAGCATGTCTCTGAGTGGAGACTAGGTGAAAATACCCTTACTAGCTATATTCGAACTATACATTATATACTTACATAACTGACGACCAAAATGGCCCGTTTTAAAAACGGTCTCAGGGTAAGCAGGAAATTCCCGTTGCTGCTTCCTGTCAGACACCTGAAACAGGAAAGGAAAGATGAACATCTAAGAGCGACCATCTACAGCACAATGCTCCTGTCTGTGAAGATGCTGAGTTCTGAGAAGACATCAAGAGCTTTGGAGCCAGAGCATGTGGGTTTCAACACCCCATTATGCCGATTGCAGCTTGGGGAGTGGGAACAGGTGTCTTCATTTCTCTGCACATCTATTTTGCTCATTTAAATGGCAATAATATCTACTTTGTGGGAACATTGTTAGGAATAAGTGAAATAATAAATGGAACAGGACCTAGCATTGTTAGCTATAAATATTGCCATTTGCCCCTGATTAACCTACACACTGATAGCATGAGTTTACATTTACCTGCTTTGTACAATTTAGGGGCACAATGTCTTCAAAGTATCTCACAATTGTCTTGTCCCTGAAGAACAAGGATGCCAAGATTATGTGAAGTGAAATAGACTCCGCTTCTGGGGTGGATCAAAGACAGAGCTCTCACACACACTCAAGAGTTTTCTCACTTGCTTACTGTCCTCTGTCCTAGGAAACAAATTAGACTGCAGGAATGTCAGCTTCAGAGGTCAGAGGTTAATGGGCACCCTGCATCTGCCACAGTCCCCACTGGTTCAAAGTAGGAGCTGCAGCTTTATGAATGGGACTGGTTGGCTTCTGTGACATGGAAGCAAGAGCTGCGGTTAACAAGCCCCCTGTGAAAACATAAAGGGTCCATCTTATCCTCCAGCAGGCTTGCACACTTTAGTCAAAGCAGAGAAAAGAAGTTGTACTGAATCATATAATCCCTCTGGCATTCCCCTCCTTATTTTCCCTCGCCCTTTTCATTTAGTTCTTTCACTCCATTTAATCTGTTTCTTCCCTCAAAGGATTTCTCTACTGAAGTCTGCATTTGAATGAGGGCTCTTCCTTAGAGAGAAACTTTGGTCCAGACAGTGCCTCTTCAGTAAAACCCAAGTGGGCTAGTGTCCTGCAGAGATAGGTCTACCTTGAGTCTGCTTACTGAAGATGTGTGGCCCCTGCCCTGTAGTGTAGCAAGCATTTTGTAACTGCAAGGAAGTGACAGCTTTACTCAAAAGCAGGCCTCTTCCTCAAGACTTCTCTTTCTGGCTCATAAGAATATCTGGAAGCGACGATGCTCAGAACTGGCTAGTCAAGCACTTGATGATTACAGAAAACGAGCAGGGGTGAAGCCACCAAATGAAGTTTGCTGCTAACAAGTTCTGCATAGGCCCACCTTCTAGAGCAGCTCCGACCCCACCTTCTAGAGCAGCTCCGAGCCCTTTCTTCCCTTCTGGGACCACAGCAGAAAGTTTGGCATGAGGCTAGGCCAGAGTCACTGCGGCTGCCGTAGGAGGGTGCACAGAGGCTGTCCCTGAATGGGCTTTAGAGAATCTGGAGTGGTACAGGTGTGTGTGTGTGTGTGCGCACATGTGCGCGCATCTGGATGTTTTACTGGGCAGCTGGGTCTATGACTCTCACAGTAGTAGTACAAAAACACACATCCTTCTCTGGTCTCTGCCTCCTTCTGACTACCATTCTCAAGTAAATTAAACCAAGACCAGACCTTGGAACTTCTGTTTCTCCAAGGATGCAGGACAACTCTCAGCAGATAGGTAAAGGAGACAGACGGGCCAGAAAGGGTGCCCAGGAGGGCAATGGGTGGGAATGTGTCTGAACTTTACAGCTAGTTGCTCTTGGAGACTTCATTTCTCAAGCTCCCTCTCCAACTTGTTTAACACTGGAAAAATTACATGTGGCTTTCCTTTCTATAGAGCAAGCCACACAGTTAGGGGTTTTTCTTGAAGTTAAACTTAGACGAAGCTATCATACATCACTTCTGACAGTTTGATACAATGGCTATTTTAGTAACTGTATTTATAATGCTTCCCCTAGTTCAGTGAGTCTTGGTGAAATTCTATTTCCACAAGAAGTTAGGATAAGAGTAGCAGATAATTTACTCTCAAAATATAACATCCTAAGGTCACACAAGTTTGAAATGGTACAGGGATTCTTGATGGAAAAACAAGATGTCAAGATTTCTATTTGAAGCTGTGGGCCCACAGTGAATGGCAAAGTGATACATATGGCATGGTGCCATGTCTGGAGAAGCACTAGCTAGGTGGAGAGTGTGCCATGGGCTCTGTTCTCTACATTTCCTTCTCCACTCCACCTCAGAGCTGGACAGTGGGATTTCCCCCTTGATTCACTTCTTATGTACTATGGAACAGACCTGAATAATGACCAATAACAATAGCATTAATAAAAGCAACAACTAACAGTACATGTCAGACATGTATTTTGATTTAAATATGACAGCTTACCTACCATTTAGAATAATTCCACGAGATCAAAAAATTAGAAGCGACAATTTTTAAACCTGATTTCTCAGCTATTCATTTCAATCGTAAGAAAAACATGCTAAAACTACACTTTATTTATCTTTGTGTTTATTTATTTTTGTAGACAGGGTGTCACTAAGATGTCTGTTGTGCCGGGACTCACTAGGTAGCCCAGGCTGGCCTCAAACTCATGGCAATCCTCCTACCCTAGACTCTATTATCCTAAGAGTACAGATGTGTGCCACCAAGCCTGGCTAGGGACACTTTAATTTTAGCAAATTCCCCATGGAATTTGCACATTCCTTACAAAACTACAGAAAGTACCAACAACAATCAATTCCAAGCCACTATGAAAGCACAAGAATAAGAACCATGGATTGAGGCTTCTGTCCCTTTGTGTTCTCGACTTACATCAAGACTACAGGCTCCCAGTTTTCTTCCTTTATCCAAGAGTTAGTTAAGTAGCCTTGGGGGCCCCTAAAAGACTGGATGTTTTCATCAATTGATGACATCAGAAATCACTGAAGAAACACAGAGAAACCAAATTTCAAGAAAAAAGGATGTCATGGCATCCATGAAGAAATACTACTTAGAAGAGATAATTAGAACACTCAGTTGTACTTGATGATTTAGCACCAGCGTAGGAGACTGGTATTGTCAAATGAAGCATTTTAACCACCTTCAACTTTCACCACATAAAAACAAAAGATCGCCGGGCGGTGGTGGCGCACGCCTTTGATCCCAGCACTCGGGAGGCAGAGCCAGGCGGATCTCTGTGAGTTCGAGGCCAGCCTGGGCTGCCAAGTGAGTTCCAGGAAAGGCGCAAAGCTACACAGAGAAACCAAAAAAAAAAAAAAAACCAAAAAAAAACAAAACAAAAAACAAAAGATCAAGATTATCCGAAGTGATTCCCCCAATTTTTGCTCCCCTACACTGCAGGTCTTCTGATAAGTGAAGCAGGCAGACTAGCACACCACTGCATGTCCAGGGTGGCATTTCTTTTATTTTCAGCTAAAACTTGAAGGTGAAAGCTGAGCATGCTCAGAGGTGCTTCTGTCTGCCATGTTGACTTTGAAGACTTTGAATTTAGCATTCTTCAAAAATGTCTGTATAGTCCTCGCTTCTCAGGAATGTGCTCACTTCTGTGTGAATATGTACACATAGCTCCCAATGAAATCCCCATGTTTCCCATTTAGAGAGAATGTTGCTTTGTAAATGATTCTCTTGCTTCCCTTGACTGCAGCACATGATGATCTTTTTCCATCTTTTATTTTGTGTCTGTTCTCCATTTGGCTTTGTACTCACTAAGACTCAGACCCATTGTGTTCAGTTACACATCCACTGTCTCAGTTGGTTGTGTTAAATACTCAGTGTTAAAACTGAAACTCAACCTTCAGTTGCTCAGCCCTCATACCCTGTGGAGAGACTTTAGTAGAGACCAAAACAACAGCGACACCAAATCACCCACCCAGGGTCTGTGCGTCACTGACATTTGTTAATGCAGTCACCAGTTGATAGATATTAATACAGGTGATAACTATCCAGGAAGACTCCAGAGTCAGAACTTTCTTCTAGGTCTGTCTGAGTACTTTCTTGTAAATTTCATTTTCAGCAAGAACCCTGCTATGTCAATTTTCCAAGACACCCCCACCCTGTGCTGGTTAGTTATTATTGTCAGCTGACACAAATTAGTTACCTTGGAGGAGGGAGCCTCAGTTAGGGAAGTGCCTCCATTAGATTAGCCTATGAGCATGTCTGTGGGGTGTTGATTATTGATGTGAGAGGGCACATTCCACAATGGGTGGTGCCATTCCTAGACAGGGAGTCCTAGAAGGCATAAGAAAGGTAGCTGAGAAAGCCATGAAGAACAAGCCAGTGATCAGCATTCCTCCATGGTCTCTGCTTCAGTTCCTGCCTTCAGGTTTATGCGCTGGTCTTCCTGATTTGGACTCTAAGCTATAAACCAAATAAACCCTTTTCTCCTCAAGTTGGTGTTGTGGGATAACCCCTCTGTATGCTGTGAATATGTTTTATTGCTATTGGTTAATAAAGATGATGCTTTTGCCTATAGCAAGGCAGGATAGAGTCAAGATAGAGCAGAGATACAGAAGAAAGGCGGAGTCGGGTAGATGCCAGGCAGCTGCCAGATGGTAAAGCCATGAGACACATGACAAAATATAGATTAAAAGAAATGGGTTAATTTAAGTTGTAAGATCTAGTTAGTAATAAGCCTGAGCAATAGGCCAAACAGTTCGTAATTAATATTAAGCCTCTGAGTGGTTACTTTAAAAAGCGGCTGCAGGACCAGGTGGGACAGAAAAGCCTCTGTCTACATAGGGTGCCCAACGTGGAGCTCAAACCCATACCCTGGGATTAAGAGTCCCATGCTCTACTGAGTGAGCTAGCTGGACATGGATCTACATACGAGCTAAAAAAGCTTTTTAAAAGGTTCTAAGCATGAAGAAATGGAGCTACACTGGGCTTCCCAGTCTCTCATGCTGGCCACAGTACAGAGACGCCTCTCAAGACAACTGCCTATGAGGTGGAGTGGGCCACCAACTGCCATGAGCTAAGCTGCATGGCGGGTTCCCAAAACCTCTTACACAGGCTACAGTGAAGAGGTTTCTTTCAGTCGCTGTCTGTAAGCTTGAGAGCACCAGACAT